CTGGCCACTGCATAATGTTGACACCGTTCTGCTGTAGGAAGTCCCGTGTAGCTCTGGCAGTATGGGCCCGGGCGTTATCATGCTGGAAAATGTTGTTCCGGTGACGTGTGAAATGTGGTATGACGTAGGGTCTGAGAGCTTGGTCGATGTAGCGCACCACAGTGATGCCACCTCCTCTCCCTGGACCAAGGTTCTGGAACACCACAGGACCCACTCTCTGGTTCAGGCCTATTCCACCCCATACCATGATGCTTGCACCTCCCCATGATTCTCTTTCCATAACACATTGGACTGAGTAACGCTGGCCACGTCGTCGCCATATACTTGTTCTGCCATCTGCAGTTGATACGCAGTACTGACTCTCATCTGTGAACAGAACAATTCTCCATTGCTTGTATCGCCAGTTTTGGTGTTGTAGGGCAAACTGTAGACGTTCACGGCGAAGACGAGGGGTGAGGATAGGTCCACGGTAATGTCTACGGCAATTGGAGGTTCCCGCTGTTAAGACGTCGGCGTACTGTATTAGTACTGATTGGTCTTCCGTGTGTTCCCACTGTCTGTCGTGCTGTTTCGGATGCCTGCATGAAGGGATTCTGTACATGCTGTGGCACAACATGACGGTCTTGTCGTCTTGGTCTGCCAGTACAGAGGCGATCATTTGTGGTGTTGGTGGCCCGGAAACATTGCTGCAGCCTGCAGATGGTCCGAACGTTGACCTGGAAGTGATTGGCAACGGCTTGTGCAGTGTTGTCAGCTTCAAATCTTCCTAGCGCCTGGTTCCTCTGAGCTGTCGTGAGTCGCGGCATCCTGCTGACGTTGTAATGGGAATGTTTCAACCACGTTTGGTGGTGCGTTTTATAGGGCTGGTCCTTGTGAACAGCACGTGCAGCATGAGTTGCATGAAAAACATGGAGAACATTGGCGGATCCAGAGGGGGGTTCAGGGGGTTCGACCCCCCCTTGAAAATGACTCAAGACCACATTGAAGATTTTTTTTGCGTCGGTGGAGCCAATGGGGGGTTTGAACCCCCTGAACCCCCCTTTCAAAATTCCTGGATCCGCCCATGGAGAACTCCGTACCATCTCCGAGATCAGGTTGCGTTTTTGAGACCATTTCCTGGGTTCCATTGTGAGTTTGGGAAGGAATGTCTTTGTTCAGGTAAAGTTGTTGTCAAAAATATACAATCAAAACATTAAATGAGTTTACAATTATCCGTTTCTGCGAAGGAAAATTCCAAACTGACGTTTCTTTTGCTGCTGCTTAGTATAGATGAGTGATCAGTTGGACAGTTCAATTTGTCGACTGTTCAGTCACTCTACGTCCAGACCACTTTTCTTTTGTCAACACTTTGTTTGCCTTTTACAATCTGAAATACGACAAAACATTTTGATTCGTTGAAAAATGTTGATTTTGAATGACTGGCTTCACACATAGCACCCTATGGGAATCGAACCCTGTTTACTCCACCTCCCTATGTCATTACAGGTAAGGAGATAGTGACCAGCCGGGTTCCCTTCTCCATCAGAACACACAAGGTCACTGACTGCCTCCTCCCCAAGGATGAAGTACTGAGAGGTGGGTGTTAAAGCTAGACCTAAAGACCATTTGATATTCATATTACTGATATCCCCTGTCTCTTACCTGCGAATTGGAGCGCCTCTCCATATAAAGTTACCAATATATGCTAAACAAGGTAATGTGATCATTCTGTCCACCAGGAAAGAACTGTCCGCACATCATTGCCCGGTCCGCGTGGAAAGCGGACAATGAGTATGAGACGGAGACGAGGTCGGCAGCAGCAGACTACGTCGTGGTTGACCATACAGCTTGGGGGGACGTGTACAGACCTTGCAACATGTTCCCGTGTCATAAGACACATACAGGTAGCTTGTCATGCATACATGTGATTACGTATCAATGATTCAAAGTAAATGTTTCCAGATATCTACGACCTGTAAATACTGAGGACTTTCAGTATACATTTGTCAGTATACATAATATTCAGGCAAATTCCGCTGTATTTTTCGAGGGTAATTTGAAATGTAGTAAGTGTGTGTGTGAGTACTATTCTTTGCAAGAACGCGTTTGCGAATGTGAACATGCGTATACTGAATAGGGTAAATGTTGCGTCAGAGAGTTCCACAAGGACATAACAAAAAGGACAATCGCAATTTATTGTGCAAGTGTTAACTTGCGTAAGCACTATTTTTAGGCCTCTTCGAATACAAAAGTGCACAATTTAGGTATTAATTAGAAAAACGACCGATGTAAAGGCGGGTTTGAAAAAGTCCCCAGTAGCTCGTGTCCTCGAAATAGCCGACTGAAATGGGTATGGGTTATGATATACCATTAGGCTGATGACGTATTATTGGAATAATGGTGGTTTGCTGCTCGTGTTTTAAGTCCCTGGTTTGCATGATCAAGGCCTTAATTATTTGCTACTGTTGTGAAAAAAACATTATTCACTTACCTTTAACCACTATATTTACGCTCGGTCCAGGTATGGCATCAGAAGATCGGGTACCCAGACATTGCCTACAACTTCCTGATTGGCGAGGATGGCCGTCTGTACGAGGGAAGAGGCTGGGATGTAGTTCCTGGGAATGTCACTGACCGTAGTCGGGAATCTATCAGTGAGTTATGTCCCTTCTCTAACCCTTACACTTTCTTAAACGTTTGTGGATGTTTGTCGCCACCCCAGCGTTTGCCTTTTAAGTTTTTCAACTTCGTCCAAGAAAAGCCAACATTCGATAATAGAAAATGAAATAAAGGTAAAGTGTTCGTCTTATTACTGGATATATACAGAGGTGTTGTGACACTAGGTACATGTATCACACTGTTGACTATTCCCCAGGTATCGGGCTGGTCGGAGTGTTCAGGTGTAAACAAGCTAACATGAGGATACAAGAGACACTCAAGAGGCTGACCAAGTGTGGCGTTGAACTGTGAGTCTCTGCAGAATCAAATCATAGGAATTATGGACTTTTTAAATACTATAACTAACATAATATATCTAAATATTGAGTTTCCAAAACTGTATTATTTACACGCAAAAGGTCATGTTTAACTTCCATATCAGTTTCCAGTATCCCATACTTGTGTGTATCGTCCCATGCCCGTCTTCTTTATTTCATACTTGTCAGCATTATTCCATACCTGTCTGCACAACCCAATAGGTACACTAGCCAATATGATTCCACACCTGTCTGCGTTTTAACATACCTGACTGCATTCTCCCAAACCTGTCCAAGTTATCCCATACCTATAGGGTTGTGCTATACGTGTCCCTCTTATCCCATACCTGTCTGCATTCTCCCAAACCTGTCCAAGTTATCCCATACCTATAGGGTTGTGCTATACGTGTCCCTGTTATCCCATACCTGTCTGCATTCTCCCAAACCAGTCCAAGTTATCCCATACCTATAGGGTTGTGCTATACGTGTTCCTGTTATCTCATACCTGTCTGCATTCTCCCAAACCTGTCCAAGTTATCCCGTACCTATAGGGTTGTGCTATACGTGTCCCTGTTATCCCATACCTGTCTGCATTCTCCCAAACCTGTCCAAGTTATCCCATACCTATAAGGTTGTGCTATACGTAACCCTGTTATCCCATACCCGTCTGTATTATCCCAAACCTGTCCAAGTTATCCCATACCTATAGGGTTGTGCTATACGTAACCCTGTTATCCCATACCTGTCTGCATTCTCCCAAACCTGTCCAAGTTATCCCATATCTATAGGGTTGTACAATACCTGTCCCTGTTATCCCATACCTGTCTGCATTCTCCCAAACCTGTCCAAGTTATCCCATACCTATAGGGTTGTGCTATACGTGACCCTGTTATCCCATACCTGTCTGCGTTATCTAATATCTGTCTGCATTATCCCAAACCTACCCACTACATTTTTGGCTATGCTGTACCTGTCTATATTAAGCTACACCTGTGTGTGTGTCACAGCGGCAAGATCAACACTGACTACCACCTGGTGGGCGGGACGGGGATGGAAGGTGACATGGCGACTGTGCCTCTCGCTCTCCACTGTCAGCTCCGGACCTGGAAGCACTGGGTGAGATATATACGTCACTAGGACTCACAGGATACCAGCTGTTGCTGAAACACCAGCAGTATATCATTTCAACGGCACTGTTTTTCTGTTGTATTGGAAAAACAGCAAAGTAAAATCTATATGTTGTTTTAGGTGTATCAAGGACCAAATAAGTTGAAAACGAATAATATTTAAGATGATGAGTTGGTTGCAATGACAAAAAAGGTGAGAGTCAATATCCTCATCACACTCTCCTTCCTTCACTATCAATCCACCCAGCTGTGAATGGGTACCTAGTTAGGATGAGTAAGCCACAATAACTCGGTGCGCCCAGTGGCTGCAAGAGTTGTATACTTCCCAGGGAGTTGAGATCGATAATACGATCTGCCGTAAAGATGGACATCCAATGATCGAGGGAAAAAATACCAGCGCCTTGAGCATGCAGTAGTTGCGTGAAAATCTTCGCTATATAAATATCCTATATTATCAATCCCTTAGACCTATAATTCTCTATAAACTCTCTCTATCCCTATAAACTCTCCAACTGCACCCATGTTTATATCACCAAGACTGTTCTTCATAGATGACCCAATATCGTGTTGATAAGACCACACCACAGTACACAGGTAGTACTTTCTGTATTACGCCTTGGCCGCCAAGTGAGCTTTTTGATATCAGTCCTATTCTTGAAATGTTACTGAACATCTGTATGAAAGCACGGCACCTTGTGATAGCTTGAACACTTCTTGTGACATGCAAATGTGCAACAGTCCCCTATGTGTAGGACAAAGTGGTTTGCGCACGGAGGAACCGAAACATGTGTACAAGTACTCTCAGGGGTTCTAGCAACCACGGAGAGATGTTGTCTAGATATTGCTCACGTAATTATATGCATATCTCGCACACGGGGCAAGTTGTGAAAAGCTACTGCTTGTGAAAGTTGATGGTTGCGAGTTTCAGTTGCTGATTCTAAGATGTTATCTTACTTACTCTTAGGGTATTGAGAACATATTCAACCTACAAAGTTTCAGCTCCCAATTTCAGAAATGATAACGCCAGATGTATACAGTATTATACTCCACGGGTTGTATATTGTTGTATAAGTGCACACGCGATGGAAACACCAGGTGTTGAGAACGGTACGTATTATACAGCAACTGGGTGTAACCCCACGTATTGTATTATATTACATGTGATGGCCAGGCCATGTGTTGTATCACGGTACAGATATTAAGAACGTCCACTTCATCGTCGTGCAAACTGCGTTGACGCCACTTGTTGCATTGTATTCCATCGATGTTATCTCCACTTGTATTGTTTTTCTAGTGGAGCGAGGATTCGTCGTGGCACCGCTATTGTGACATGCCCTGTGATGATGCCACGCCCACCCTGCCCGGAGGGGTGAAGGACACCAGCTCGTCACCCACAGTCTTCACTAGTGACAGGTCAGAGATTACAACAGCCCCTCGTTTCATTTACAGAGCTGTTGTATATGTGTACATACAGGTGGCTTCGAAAGACAGTATGTTCAGATTACAGAGGTTGCATTTTACGTTTCTATATTTCCTTTTTTATAGCGTACTAGGTTCTTGGACATTGTTTGCCTTTCTCTCCTGACCATGCACAGTAATACTTTTCTGTAACTGTTCCAAGATAATAGACTGACTTCATCTGAAACATTGTTCATTCTTTTTTTTCACAACACTTTATTTATAGGAAGTCAAATGGTTCAGCAAAATGTTTTGTAAATGTCGAGGCAAAATTCTATTTACCGTACTGTTCCTTTTGGAAAAAGAATAAATATAATGCCAATTGGTCGGTATATATGTTTTACTTTAATGATTATATCCCATACTGAGCCAACACTGACACGGCTAGGATGGGCCATATACATACGATTACTGGCCTGAGAATCTGTGATCACGAGAAGCAAACATATTTACCTGCCTGTTCCAGACTACCCACCCGGGACGACACGGGGGAGACCGACTTCCGGTTCATGCCGTCTGTGGGTAACGGGCACCTGGCCACGGTGGCACTCAGCCCCACCGTCTACGTCAACGGGTTGTACAACGGGCCAACTGGTAATACCGTAACAGAGAGAATTATCATACTAAAATATCAGCAGCATTTCAAGATGGAACTCTAAACAAGAAATTACTGTAAACCGGAAATATTCTGCGCCTAGAAAATTTTGCGTCAGCGTACCCCCAGCCTGTTCTGCGACGTATTATTTTTGCGAGAGTAGTAGGCTTTGCAAAAACAACATATGCAACTGGGACGATAATGTTACATACATACTGATTCATCCTCTTCTATAAACACGGAAAAGTTGAGACACTTTTGCCTGCCACGATGTAAATAAAAGTACGTATTTAAACTCATTTGGAAGAAGTACCTGACATACAATGGTGATAATTCCTGATAGCGGTATGTGTGTACGTACAGCTGTAACATTGCTATGTTGGCAGGGTGGTCACACCGCGCCCGTATCCCCTCCCTCAACTCTCTACATCTGACGGTGACGGGGGTAACCGAGGCGGACACCACGAGGACTTTCTCTCTGGACGTCAAGCGAGGCGAGTTTTGCAGGACATCACTGGCGACGTACAATGCCATATTGTAGATATTGCTATGTTAAATGTTCCGGCGGACAATCGAGACTGGTTATGCTCTGGCGTTGACGTTCAATATCATATCCTTCAGATTTTCCTGAATGTATTCAAAGTAATGGATCTGAAGCATTTCTGTGGTGTTTGCCGCAGTCAGAATTCTTCATAGCGTTAATTTTCCCCAGAATCGATAATTTAAACAACAACAACATCTGCTTGAAATGTAGCCTTGGCGTAAATCTAGCATGCAGCCTTCGTACAGTAACAGTGGGCTGAATCGTGCAGAGTTGTGTCCCTTTACTTGTGCCAGGATCGCTTTTCTGTTGAACCCACATTTCTATTCGATTATGTAATCTTGGCCTTTTGACACCATCTCTGGTTTCAACTATCTACACCCTATGTCGTTTTGGAGGAAAACCCCGTTACAAGATAAATAATATCTGAAAACGCAATGTAACTGAACTCACTCACACTACGTTTTGCTTGCCTGCCTGACTAACTGTTGTCTGTTGGCAGCTGTTTTCACTGAGACTATCGACACTCCTATGTTGACGATTGAGCACAGAGTATATGCTCATCAGTACTATGTCCGACTGCTTATCACGGAGGTCATCGTCACGAGAAAAGCTGTTGCAGAGGGCCAGGACGTCATCATTAACGTCAAGAACAGCTTCCAGAGCAACTTTACCAGTGAGGATATTCAGTTTGAACCCAGAGTCAACCTTGGAAGAGAGGACTTGTAAGTGTTGACGTAGCTGCACGTATCTCGGAAGTAATCTAAGTCTGTTATATCTGTGAACTTGATGGACGATTAAAATGCCGTGCCGGGAAAATAAAGTATGCACTTGAAAACTGGACACTTGAAAAAACCAACATTACGAATGCATCTCGTATCAAACATATCAACATCGAATAATCATTTCATGCATGTTTCATTTCTTGCTACCACCTGTGTGGATACTTATGCCATTTTGAAAGTGGTCAGTTTAATGTTAAAATATGGGAAGTGCTAGAATCTACTAGAATCAGAAATTTCTGAGAAAGTGCAATCCAAAATGCAACATATGTTACCAACAAACGTTTGTGTGGACGTCATTTTGTCTGGCATTTATCAAATGCTAACGGGTTTCACCCAAGGTGGTGTAACGCTGATCACCTGTAATGCTTCCTGCTTTCCTTTCACGTAATGCTGACACACCGTGATCTAACTGAGAAAAGAACGGAGACCGGTTAAGCCAAACTACGTCACATACTTATTCATTCAGATCCTCTTTTCTCACTGTATGTGTTTAGGAGTAAATCCAGCATAATTCTGTATATCTATCCTTAGTGTCCTCATGTACCAATGTATTGTGTAATGTATGTATTGTGTGTATGGTATGAATAACGTGTAGAATATGACTTCTATACAGATGCCCTCGGTGGAACTGTTGGAGGACAAAGGGGACAACTCTGATCCCAGAACGCCAGGACACACCTCTACAGGACATCTACATCGCCTGGTATGAGATCCCTGACACTCTGACACTCCATACAGGCTCGAACACAGACCGGTGGATCTACATGACCGCCATTGACCAGACTATTGACAGAAGCAACATGAACTTTGAAGCCGGTAGACGGGACTTCCTGGCAGACAACGATCTGGTGTTCCAGCGCCATGTTGATGCATGGACGACGAAGTGGAATAATGGACATATAGAAATCAAGGACAACCTCCAGCTAGCCAAGCTGGTACATGGAAGCTTCTATTACATCATGAGTTCTCTCCCTTCAGAGAAGACATACCTACCAACAAACCAATTCTATGGCCTCAGTCCTGGAGGTCTGGCCAATGGTGCCAACTGGACCGACTACCAGGGCCACGTGTTCTGGGACATGGAGACGTGGATGTATCCACCGATTCTGATGTTTCATCCAGGTCTGGCCAAGGCGATGCTGTCCTACAGGATCTATTCCATGCCGCCATCCTATGCCCGAGCAGCGTCTGGGGGCTATGAGGGTCTGCGGTACCCCTGGGAGGGGGCTTCCTCAGGGGCTGAGGTCACGCCAGATATATGTGTTCCTTGCCGTGAAAACCAACAACATGTGACAGGAGACATAGCGTTTGCAGCACGGCAGTATCTGTCAGCCACTAGAGACATGCACTGGTTGAAACATGAGAAAGGGTATGAGTTTATCAGAGATATGGGAAAGTTCTGGGTCACGCGGCCTTCCTGGAATGAAGACAAACAAGCTTATGAAATAAATGGTGAGAATTGTATGACAATATATATATATCAAATAGTTGTAGCTAGATCGTACTACTTAAGTGAGTGAGTTCCTGGCTGGTTGGTTTGATTGGTGGCTGCTTGAATGGGTTGGTGGATGTTTGGATCGGTGAGTGAGTCTCTGACCCTTTGAGAAAGTTGAGACCAACGCAGACAGTACCATCTTGAGTTCGAGGGATATGAAGATGTCACAGGTAATATATATAATAGTAATACAAGTATGCAGTCGTTAGTCCGACGACGGATGGATGATGGAAAGTGCGCTTCCGATTCAAACACTACTCTGTGACTCATGACGATCCGGGTTAGAACTGATCTTCAGCAACCCATGCTTGTCGTTAGATTAGGTGATCAAGCTCGCTGTCTTGTATGCCATCGTATCCAAATTTCGAAGATCGATTTCAAGATGTCAATCACTGGTTTGTGTGGTTCAGAGTCAGACTCTGCAGACGGCCACAGCGTAACTGGAAGAACACTATTCCGAAATATTGCCCAGATCGATGCTCATGCTGTTGATCACTGGATTGTCTGCTCCAGACTCAATTATTTCCAGACCGCCGCCTAATCCAAATAATACTGCACAATTAACTGTCCACACATTATACGAATCGTGCCTCCGATATGAAGATTCACTTCACTAACCAAAGGGTTACCCAACCACCGCATGTGTTTAATAAGACTATTAGAATTTGACTGTAACGTTTCAAGCCACAATTTGCTTTCCAAGATAACCATATTTCATTCACCCAGCAACTGTCACGTGCGTGTCAGGGTGGTTACTCTGACAACGTTTCATTCATAAATTGTTTCATATCTTTTCTAAATCATTACATAATTTTACAATGATAATTCTGTTTCCCTAATTATTTAAAATAATAACGATCAAAACAAAAGCTGATGAACTAATTTACCTGATGTTATTATCTCTTCAAGGTGTGATGCCCCCCGATGAACATCAGATAAGTATCAACAATTCAGTGTATACCAACATAGGAGCCAAACTCAGTGTCCACTTTGCTAACTACGCCTCCTGTCTGGCTGGAGAACATGTCAACACCACGTGGACGGACATTGCCGACCA